CCATTGAAATGGCCAAACTGTGGTTGAGGTGGTAGACAGTGCACGAGGGTTTACAGAAAATTTAAAGAAGAGGGAAGCACGTTTCTGTAAATCTTCAAATACTCGTAACTGTTGTGAAAATGATTCCAGTGTCAACAGCAGAATGCAAATGAAGCTTAAGTGGAATGAATTTATGTATGTCACCTCAACATGTTTTACTTCAAATTTGTCATTTATCAACTTCATTCTTTCATTCTATTATTTCTTTGTCTTTTTAAATTAAATTCTGATGAATATGTGAAGACTTAGCGTCCGAGTTTTAGAAAGTGTGCTAAAGCAACCACGTGTAGGTAAAAGGAGGAAGTGGCAGAAGAAAATAATAAATACGGTTCACTGTGGAACATTTTACATATTATCAAGTTTGCCTCACAGTTGTCACATTGATAGAATGTTTTATAAAGACTTGGCTCGGCAGCTCTCTGTAGCATAAAACATGAAGTTTTGTATATCAAATGTAGGAAAGAGAAAATAGTATTTCCCATCATTTTTTAATATTAAGCTTCATAGTGCAGTGAAACCAGCAACATTTGTTATACAGTGCCAAGTAACTTACAAATCAATGTTTAATGAGCTCACAGACCTGAGCGATAACACACTTTTTGCGAACCTGCATCATAAAAGTTCCCTTTACATGAACTCAACATTCCTCAGCCATTCCAAACCGATGTCTGAGCATCTACCTAGTTCCAAAAAGCCATTTTCACCCTTAAACCTGTTGTCCCCCCAGGAGTAAATCTACAACAAAAGTACAAAGCATAAACAAGGAAATCTGATGTCGCTTCTGACTGCTGACTGAAAATTCATAATGAAATATGTGACAAACATCTGTGAATACAAGATTCACTATGCACTCAAAGCATATCACATGTATACCTTAAGATACCACATATTTACACTAAAGTTTTATAAGCAGAGTTAAAAAAAGAAAGACTTTTATGGCTGATGTCATAACTTTTTCAGCAATATACTAAATTGGTGTTGCACTACAAACTGTAAATAGGGATCCGTCTACTATTAGTATTAAATAGGAAAAGGATGTCAGTTTCTAATGTACTCTGTGGTTTTCAAAAAGCCGTTTCACCAATTGTGAAAACAAATGTTAAGTGGCACACTACTTACATAAATATTTTAGTTCACTTTTCATTGGATTGTGATAATTTTGATAAAATATGCATATCTGGAGTCTGTAACTTCCAAACAGAAATCCATACAAATATTTCCATAATAACAAACTAATTTTAAAATAAAAAAATAAACGGTCCAATTATGTCACAGATTTATCAAAAGTTTATTTCTAAAACCAGGGAAGGTACTTAAATTAATTTTAAATTTTCTTTGAATGTCCAAGCTCACTGTACAGCTAATCAAAATATGTTCACTATCATTTGTATCCATACAAACCATTTCTGGAAGCACATACAAAATGTACTGTTTCAAATAAGTTGCACTTAAAACAGTGGAGCTAAAAATTATATTAATGTTTAGATAAATTCAGTTAGCCTAACATCATCCTGTGTTATGCTTTGTCACTGTGCACTGTGCAGCAGAGTTATTAGCACTCTTTCATACATGGGAGGTCTCAGATTCAAATCCTGGCCCACAGACCAGCTGTTCTGAACAAAGTTTTTCATTATTTCACTCAGTCCCACCAGTTAAATGCTGGGAAAACATCTTAAATTAGGTAATGATCACTTCTTACCATATCCCTTAGAGTTTTTTGCCGATCCTGCCATTTGATGCTACATAGACTGAGCTATTGGAGAGTGTAATTATATGAATAAAAAACCAGCTTTGTCAGGCATAATCAGTCATTTCAACGCTTGAATCTTCTGTGTCTGGCATTTGTTTACAAATATAAAGTCTGCAGATGATCCTATTCACTAAATTATGTTTACAACATCCATATTTGCTCAACTTACTTGGGTCAATAGTGACAATTCTCACAACATAATACATACCTCAAAATAGGGACTACATGCTGCAAGAACTGCACGATGAACTCGTAATGTGTGTGTGTTGCACATTAATGTAACATCAACCAATGTCTGATGCTCCAGCAGCTGGCCCAGACGAGTGGCAAGGTGCGAAGGGTGTTCTTCCCACTGCACCATAAACCTTGTGCCTCCCATCTTTTGGTACACCTCACCACCTACTGAATGCGAAAATGTGTTTTACTAGCCAATCACTGAAAGTACATCATGACTGTCTACTCCATTCCAAGATGGAGAGACATACACCCATGCAGCCACACGTAACCCCAAGATTACTGTTTAGGCTGTCCATTTATGGTTTAACACATTGCGATTATCTTATGTAAATCTCCGAAAAAAACCATTAGTATGATATTAATACACGTCCATGACTTTCGGTTCAAACCAAAACGTATGCACCTCGGTCTCGAAGCACATATATCAATAAGCATTTATTAAGTATTCCTAAAAAGTTCTTAAAATGAATAATAATAGCATTATAAAACAATAAAACGCTTATACGAACCTATTGCACGATGTAGAAAATGCACCAATGGAATTTATATATTGTAGCCAAATATTCATGTAGAAAACAACGACAACCGCCATTAGCAAGCTCGGCGGAGATTATCGACACGAACGCTCTCTACATGCGCAGTAAATGAAAAAACAAGTGACGCCAATCTAAGCGGGCGAGATGAATATGGTTGGCAATATGTTTATTTCAATCTGTGATTCCAGCCATTGTAATATTACGGTCTGAAACGTAAACACGAAAGCCATCTAGTAGGTTTGACACTCTGTATGGGCAACGTATAGATGCAGGCACATCTATTTTTATAATTCTTCGGATAGAGAATTTAACTGGTTTCAATAAAAGTCCTTGTATACTTGCCTGGTTTCTGTGAAGAACCTCCAAAATTAACCAAGTATTATACCAAACGTACTATTAGATTAAACTAGGTTATGAAAATCCAATACAGTAAACTCTCGGTTTACGATCGAGTTCCGTTCAAAGATGTTCGTTATACGTTTTTGTTATGTGTATCTTACATTCCTGAGCCTTTACGAAGCGTATCGTATACGTTAGCAGCCATTTTAAAACATTAAAATCATGTACTAAACATCGAATGGTCTGTACAATACGTTTTATTGTAATGTATGTATGCGTTATGGTTTCTTTACTACGAGAAAACATTCTACGCGGCGTGGCATGAAAACCAACATTTTTTACTGGCTAGATTAGTTTTAATATCCAAGAACAGTTCAGTATAATTATCATATAATAATTTTCTGATAATTATTGCAATAAATACATTTTAATTTTTTTTGTTTCTTTAAATCCTACAATTATGTTCACTATACATTTGGCATTTCGTTTTATAAGGAACTCTATCTATTGGCGAATTTAAGAAACTTTGAATGAATTGTGACGTTCATTATAGCAAATATTCCTAAATTGAGCGTCCGTAAACCGATAGTTGCATGTATTGGCGAGGGCATGAACTGTAAAATAAGTGAATTGCCGCGCCATGCAGTGGAAAGGGCCTAAACTAATGTAGAGATAAGTGAATTGCCGCGCCATCTGCTGGGAAGGGATAAACTAATGGGCCCGCGAAAATTTTCTGACCCGTTTACCTCCTTGGGTATCCTGTAACCCGGATAGAAACATCGAAAACTCAAAGCTAGGAGACCTGCTCTGCCCTCTTTTGGTAAAGACATGAACTAATGTAAAGATAAGTGAATTGCCATGCCATCTGCTGGGAAGGGATGGGCCCGCGAAAATTTTCTGACCCGTTTACCTCCTTGGCTACCCTGTAACCCGGATAGAAACATCGAAAACTCAAAGCTAGGAGACCTGCTCTGCCCTCTTTTGGGCAAGACATGAAATAATGTATAGATAAGGGAATTTCCATGCCATCTGCTGGGAAGGGATAAACTAATGTGTCCGCGAAAATTTTCTGACCCTTTCACCTCCTTAGATATCCTGTAACCCGGATAGGAACATCGAAAACTCAAAGCTAAGCGACCTGCTCTGCCCTCTTTTGGGCAAGACATGAAATAATGTATAGATAAGGGAATTTCCATGCCATCTGCTGGGAAGGGATAAACTAATGGGCCCGCGAAAATTTTCTGACCCGTTTACCTCCTTGGGTACCCTGTAACCCGGATAGAAACACAGAAAACTCAACGCTATGTTACCTGGTTCGCCCGCTATTGGCAGAGACATGAACTAGTGTTAAGATAAATAAACTGCCGCGGCTTATACTGGCGAGGTCATGTAAAGTCAATCTCAAGAAATAATTCTGGTACCATGAAACCATCCCTTCTTACCAATATTCACCATTACCTCCCACAATTTAACATGCCACTCCCATTTTCTAGTTAAGTGAAATGTAACTAAGTTGTTTGTAAAATGGTGTGCATGATACATGATAAAGTCAAAGCATTAGAGGAACATATGTAGCAGTTTAATATTGAACAGTGCAGGGAGTTACTAAAGTAAGCCAATTTGCCTTAAAAGATATTACCAATGAACTAAATTTATTGGTATGAATGTGAATTCAAGTTATATATTGTGACAATGAAATATTGAACACCGCCCATCGCTCATTAGTTATAATCCACTAGTTTCTCTTAATGAGGAGATAAGCCAAAATAAATTATAGTATTATTATTTCAGTACAAAAAGTACAGTACTGACAACAATGAAAATGGTCCCCTCCCACTAACTTATACTTTTATTTACCTTTGTACATTAAAGACAAAAATACGTACCTACAAATGGACTTAATTTGCATGTACATCCCTAATATTTAAGAGAATAGCAGTATTCTATCTTGCACTGTATGCTGAAAGAAAATATTTTCCTTCATAGATTACTTTGTGATGCCAAACCAAATTCATGTATGCATATATTTTCTAAAAGTAGCAAATGCTCTGATCTTATTAGAAATCATATTACAGTAAAATGTAAAAGAAGTACAGTACTTCAGTCTTATCAACACTGTTTATTAAGAATAAATAATTGTAGCACATTGTAGCACCTACATAATAGGCTGATATAAGAAAAATTGTAACAGTAATTTTGAAAATTCTTAAATAATCCAACTCTGAAGTTGACTTACTGTTTTTTACAGTAACAAAGAAACATACTGATAAATTAATATTTACATGGTTATTTATGAATCAAAATGTAGTCTGGCTTGAATTTGTTAAAAACCAAGGCATTGAAAGGATTCAAAGTTCTCACAGTAGTAATGATGACAACTATGATCTTCAGATTTGTCACACTGTGTAGCCTTGTGGGCGGTTACTAATATTTAAGACAATTATACTCCTTCCATATTGAAGGTATGGAGGCAGTATGTCACTACAAGACCACAGTGTCACAACCAACAAAACCACAATCAATATTGTACTGAAGAATTTGAGATGCAGAATGTTACTTAAAAGTTTTTATAATGCAATTACACACAAGGCAAAATAAATAATTGAGAAAATATTAATAAATAAAGAATGGGGAATAACTATGTAACCATCATAATGAACCAACAGAACACTTCATGATCAAACAGCTATGAAGTTTCAACAGATTTTATATATATATATTTATATATATGTATATACATACAACAAATAGCTGATTTTATCATAAAATTATCACTTTGTAAGTTTTATAATTTATGGCTACAGGAATATTTTTCCATTTTATGCCCTTAAAGTAGCCACAAGAAATGTTATGAATATAAAGGAAATACAATAAACACATAACTATACCATAATGCACTTATCTACAAATTTGTAATACAGGATTCCAAAAGTTATTATACTGATTTAATTAATTTAATTTCAAATATGACATTGTCATTTTTGTATCTTGATTTCAAGTTGGCACAATCAAACGTTTTTTATAAATATCTACATGTTACAATTGTGGTAGCAACTAACACGCTTTTGGCATTGCAACAATTGACAATAATCAATATACAGAATGTATGCCTTTATATTACCAGTTCATACAACTTTCTGTAACTATAATTCAGTAAAATATACAGACTACAACCATTAACCAGAATCAAAGCCACTGGCATGAAGAAATAAACTTAAAACTGTAATGGTCACTCATGAAGTCAACGAAGATGCAGATTGTTACCAACTACAGATGACATGTGAACAGCATTCCTTACCTCTTTAGTCACATAACACAAGCAGTAGATGTACATACAACAGTACTGCAAGAACCTATAACAATAAATGTGAAATAAATCAAGGAAGAACAAACACATTTTATTAATTAAAAAATACAAAGAATATTATTTTGACCTTAGTGAAGAAACAAGTAAATTTACTCTGAGCTAATGTTAGTTCTGTCAACTTTCAAAAATTTACTTTTATGATTATTCACTTGACGGATACACTGAACGGCAATTCATAAACCATTTATCTAATTTTTATTAAATTTAGTCATTTTCACAGTATTTGAATTACAAAGGTTCTGTATAAGTCACAACTGTAAGATACAGATAAACACTCCGTATCATAAAATGTCATAGAAGTAGTTTTCTCTTTTTGTTTTTAACTGAAATGAGTTATGAAAGAAAGACTTGATGATCTAAAGATCAAAATTTGTTAAGAGCACAGTTGTACTGTTTAAGATTTAGGTTATGTTCACTAGTTCTTGGATTCAGTAAGATCAAATACTTTCAGAGACTGTACCACAAACTGCAGGCAACCTATTCGAGAAGTCTGACTAAAGGGGAAGAGTATTAGTAGACATAAAACATTATAACACAATATGATCTATCAAAAAAGAAAAGTTTTGAAAAGTAAACAAATGATAAATGCATCAGATCTAAGAAACACTAGTAAATGGAAGACCTGATAGTACAGGGGATAAAAGAAAAAAAAGCTTATCACATATTTTGTGTGATGATGACAGTATTAAGTGTATGTGCCAAATATTCTTATAAAGCAATTTTATGCATCCAGCAAAGTGTTTCCATTAACAAGTACAATGCACAAGAAAACATTCTTCCTATTAACATGTACAATGTATTTTAACAGTTTAACAGAGGAACCTAAATAGCATGCAAGCTGCTCACTCTGTCGTAAAATACCATTTTCCTACTGCACAAATTTATTACCAGGAGTCAAAACATCTGTTTGGGCATTTTGGATAAAACATTTAATTTGGTCAATGCTTGGTCTATTTTCATAGGTGGAATGTCATAAATACTGAATTTGTTCTGTTGTGTTCATTTTGTAAAGTACTGCACAGAGGTTCACTGTTATATTTGTGACCTTCTTACTGCCTGTTCATACAGCGAGTTCATCCACACTAAGCAAATGATTCAAGTAAAATAATTTTACTTATCTAATGTTATGATAGATGTCGAAAGCAGCGCCTTCAAACATCTGAGCACCTGCCACAGTGACGTCACAAACACTGACGCAGATTCTGATCTACAAAATCGTATGAATTATTTCTGCATGATTTTTCTTTGTTTCTCCACACGGATAAAGGGAATATGGTGTGATGTGTCACGCATTAAACTAAACAGATATGAGAGTTACAATATTGGATAATGCCTGTCTCTTGATGAGAATCAGCATTTTAGCGGGACAGTGCACACACAAATATATAAAAAAATGAACCTGTTCTCACTAAAACTGAGAACCCTTGTGCTTTAATCTTTTCCTGTACCTAACACTGTAGAATGTACTAAATACAAAAAACTGTTGTCACACCTAAAGTAAAATAAATACTGCAAAAGAATTTAAATTAATTGTAATGCTGGTAGATGGACATCATGACATGCAATAAAGTGACTAATTACACAATAACTTTGTCTGAACATTGTAAATGCAATCATAATCTTAGACAGTATTTATGGTTTATGCAATTATTTGGAGTGCTGGAAAGTGTTAAAAATAAATTAATGCAACAATATAATCCTTTTCTAGTAACTGCTTACTTGTTATGACATTTTATATGACCAATACAATTTAATAATAATAAAATAACTTTCAGTTACCATTTCTGTTAACTTTTGTGACTCTGCAGATTTTACGTTTATCAAGAAAACATTACGTTGACTTGATACCTCTGGTGGTCAATGGACAAATCAATCTCTTTCATACTCCTTGTATACTGGAGCAGACACAAGACAAGCAGTGAACAGGTGGAAGTTAATATTTTCTGTCTTAAAGGCTGAATTCCTGTAGTTGTGTTTCTCTTGTTGACCAAACAAAGATTAACACTCAAGTACACACTTTCAAACAATTCAAGTAATTAAATTAAATATCATCTAACAAAAAGAAGGAAATTTAATGAATGTGTATAGCAAAAATGTATAAAAAATATAAAATTATGAGTATTCAATCTTGGCAACATGAAGTAAGCTAATAAAACTAAACATGTATCAAACTAATACATCTAAATAAGATATACATGCTGTTTATTGCAGTGTAATTATGCAAAACTTCGAAACACATGATTTTAAAAAAGAATAAATGTAACACAAGAAGAAAAATTCAAATATTAACAATTACAAATGCAGAACAATCTTTGGCATTCAACATAGTAAATACATATCTATATATATACATAAACACTTCCTGAAAATAATTCAAATTTTGCATGTCAAAAACTGTCAAGCAAACAAAGTTAAGAGCTAAAAAGATTAATTAAAATCAGCTAATAATAATTTGTTCGCCTTTCAATTTTGGTGAAATAAGTTGTACACAAAATATTCCTTCAATTTAACTTCTTCTTGAATCCAAGTTGAATCCATTATTGGTGTGATGTCCATATTTCATTTTTCACTCTTCTTCCTGAATGTAACAAAAATATATAATAAATATATAAGTGGTAGCATTACAACATTTTACTACAGGCTAATACACTGAAATAAATGACCAATGACAAATGAATCACACGAAGCAGCCAAGATATCCCAAGTTGACATATAAACATGCTTATTACTTTACGTACAAAAACAGTCATTTCTCAGGTCCATGACTCATACCTACTGCTTTTTGACCCACACTTGAATATCGTGGCAATGAAAATCTTCATTTAATTTCCTAATTTCACCAAATTTAAGTGCTCATAGGCAGTGACGACTTACTTTTCAGGGGTGGGGAGTAAACGTAAATCTGACTGTTTTAGAATGAAAGTATTCTTTCCATGAAGGTGTGGTGTTGTAATTGCGACTGCCGAAATGTTTTATGATCTTTACTAAAATGGAGATGAAATTAACTTTTTCAGAATTCAACAGAAAAAGTGATCACAGCAGAGTATACAGTGTCTTAGGTTAAACATTGTTAAATTATGTTTTTGGACTACTTTCTTTATAAAATTGTAATAAGATGTGCACAATTGTTCATGTACTTGTTTCAAATCCCAGGGATGACATTGCATAATATGACATGTCTAAGATTTGAAGTTATCATAGCATCACGACCCAGAAGACCACATTCAACGAAAAACACGCTGCCTCCATCACAAGAACAAAAGCCCAGAAACATACACATAAGGATAGCAGCCAGCCATGCTCCTTATATTTGCTAAAAAAAGAGGTGCCACATTAAGAACTTGTCGTTAGTAAGTGAACTAACAGCCAATAAATTTGAGATATAATTCAATTAACTATCCAGCACTGTGAAATTTCAAGTTCTCATGGAGAGATAATCGTCTTCTGGGGTGTTGTGCCATGCAGTCTGGTAGAAATTTACCGACATTTCAGAGGTTCTTGCCTCCTCCAGAATCACTGATGGAGGCAGCAAGTATATCTGAAACGTTGGTAAACTTCCACCAGACTATGGGGCACAACACCCCAGAATAAAGACATCTTCAACTGTTGAGCCATGCCTATTCTGTGTTCAGAGAGTTTACTACAGCTTTCCACCTTCGCAAAATAGTTCAGCAAACAAAACTTAGCCCTTGACACAGTCCAAATTCACAGACATAACTTTCTGCCCTGTTGGCCTGTCAAGTGTTCAAATAAACTAATCTGAAACAGGATTGTTAAAACCAGTCCAACATTCAGAAAACCATACTCTGGTAAAACATTTAAATGAATACAATTTTTTAAAATTAAAATAAACAGGATCTGGTTGCTATCATGTGACTAAATACACAGGCATTAATAATAATAATTATTACATTTTTATTTACTTGTGGTTTCTTTAATGTTGTCGGCAGTACTCAAAATACAGCATCAAATTATGGGATGATTAATTAATTAATTATCGAGTTGGGAAGGATATGGAAGCAGTCGTGGCCTAATCTGAGGTGCTATCACTCATTTTCTTGGAGAGACAGAGGAAAGGGAGTTAAAAACCTCAAGCAGAACAGCCAGTCTCTGGGCTGAGATCCGGACTTGGGATTACGAATCAGGAGTGCTTATCATACAGTGATGATGTAAATGATAACATTAATTTTAAACACACAGTTGAAAGCTCTGTTACAGGAGAGATGAACTTGTGTATTACGTTATAAGAAGGAATGCTGGCATGCCGAAAATAACATGCAAAACATCAAATCATTGTTCTCCTCAGAAAATGAAACCACCACCAGAAAATACCTTGAAAGATCATAAATTACATAAAAATTATGAACAGCACACATTATAAATATACAGAGATGTAAAACAGACTGATAAGAAAAAACAAAGAATTAAAATCAGTGTGAACACTTTAAATGAAGAAGCACAATATAATGCATCTTGATTGTAAAGAAATTAAAAAAATATGTGGTGCCATTTCTTATAATCAGAGAATATCGTCTTTGAAATTAAATTCTGACTTTCGCACATCCTTACCACCTTAAGTATTTCGAGAAATTTTGATAATCACATTAACTAAAACTGGAAATGATCTACAATATTTCATAAACCTGGATAAAATCTCAAGTGGCACTATGGAATCATTTTGTCTAAATACTCTGATTTTATCTCATCATCATTCTACCAATGTTCCACAGTATCCTAATAATCCATCATTATAAAAGTCCGCTTGAGCAAAATTTTCAAACATGAATTGCTGTAAAGGGAGGTCAGATTGTATATCAAATATCACAACGTAGAGAATCAATCACTGTCAGAACTATTCAGAGAATTTGTTCTGCTATACTTGGAACCCAAATTATATTTAACACTTCCTATTAAATTTCATCAATCAAGAAACATTCTATTGTGATAATATTTATACATCTGTAGTCCTATTTAATGCATAGTACACATGCCAAAGGTGTTACTCCATACCTTGGAATATATTTTGATTTACAGAGATCTTATCGTACACTAAAAACTGATAAGCGTTACAGCAACAATACCTGTAATAAATAAACAATATTAAATTGTTCTACTTTATGATTTACATGCAGTTAGTCACTACCACAATCCTATGTTTACACTATGTACAAGTATTAATAATTCATACTTAATAATCACATAAGTCACCTGAATCATCAGTAAAGACAAACAGAAACGGCAATAAATGCTGGAATACAACAACTAAATTCTTTTCTTCTCAGCTCTAGTATTGGAGATTTGGGCAACTCTCTTTCAACTGCATATGACAGTTCAGCCAATACGACAATAATTAAATGTAACTATTTGGAAATACTTTACAAAAGTTGTTTCATTCCACAGCATTAACTGTTGATATTATTTTTTTGAATACATATTATATAATTCTTACTATTAATAAAACTGTTTAACGAACACCGAATCTTCATCGGTTTTCAACATTCTTTTTAATTCATTGAGTATAGCTGCATCAGAAAAAGTTATCACATTACTTTTTCAATCAGAAAAGGCATGACCATCTCAGCCTTTTACGGTTAAATAAACCCATATGAGAACTGAAGATCACAGGGTATCACTTTTATTATGATGTTCATCTTCTGGGTTGTAATACCACGTAGACCTGTAGGTAGATACAAACATTTTGTAGGAACATACTGCCTCTGCCTTCAGCCCTCAAGATTGTACCTACCTAGAAGTCTACGTGGTATTGCAATTTAGAAGACCAATATCAGTGTATTCACCACTGAGAACCTAAAATCTCATACAGGGTACTATTACTTTGTCTTCATGTTTTCAACACAACAGCATCTACTGACGAGTTGTAGTGATCTTCTCTGCTGAGTCAAAGTTCCCCAAGACAGAAAGATGTTTCTGAGGATTATTTACAATATAATTAATCATAGGCAGTTCTTTCTGACTCACTCCAACAAGCAGGCTGTTTCAAACCACCTCCTTCCACCACAAAAAGCGAAGCATATATATTTTAATACAGATTATGTTTCTTGAAGAATGAAGGTCTTCAATTACACTTTTTCCCTGATCAATCTTTCAACAAGATTTGGAAGTAAATCTTAATACTGTACAAATATTTATATGGTATATAATCTGTTCCTCTAATTATATCCAATTTATTCTTAAAATTCTGATACATACAATAATTTCCTATGTACAACCACATGCCTTTCATCTCAATGTTAGTTGCAGGAAGCATAAGAAACACATTCACGCACACACACAAATTGACAATGACAACTTGTCACACGACAGTGCAGCATGTCATCAACCGAAGTTTCCCTTTTACATTTCAGTTTGTATGCCTCACTCATACATGGATAAATTTCAAAGCAGACGATACTGTTTACTTTTTTTAAATCTATTCTCATCGTTTCAAGGCATCGCTTATCTTTCTCACCCTCATCCCACATCCGCCCAATCTGAGACCTTAAGAAGTAATTTGATTGTGCATTATTAGTACACACATCAAAAGATAATGTATGAGAGTAGGGAGGATTATCAGCAAGTGACTGCAGACCATAAAAAGGAGCATTATCCAGAGCAAAACCTTATCTTCCTTTCAAAATGTTTCATATTACAAGACAAACATTATACTTTGTATAAACATATTCATCAAAGTCTTACCTCTGAATAAAGCTCCATGAAAAGTTATTTCCCACTTAGAAGAGAAGAAAAGCACAGTTATAAATCTCACCTTACAGAATTCATTCTCAATTTGCACCATCATTACAACACAACATCCTGCAGACTTTAAGATATGCTGATATACAATGAAATATAAACAAAACTTCTCATTTAATTAAGGTAACCACTACATTTATAGACATAAATTCAGTTTTTTAGCAAGAGCACATCAAAGAAGCCATTCTTTAATGCTGGTGTACTGTGCAATAAATTTAATGATGATGCAAAGATATTTAAATTTATATGATAGAATAAATTCGTAAATATCAATCAGATGTTAAAATAAAAACAACCCCACACTGCAATTTTTCAATACCATCTGCTTTTCTTCAATTTGTTGATGCCCAAGATACGTGAGACACATTCTGCAAGTATAGATGATATCACACTGTGAAGTATATTTCCTCTTTATTAATTAAATGCAATACCACATCTTGCTCACATGGCGTAAAACTCAACACTCACCTCCAATATTGAATGGTTTGATCTAATACTTTGTATTTGAAAAATCCTTGGTTCAAATGTCTGCCCAGAGGGTTTTATGACCTTCCTCATTCCCAATAGGTAAATCGTGTGATAGTATCTTAAAATAGGTTAAGACTGGTTTCTTATCATCTTCAATGTATACTGTATCACTATCCATTCAGTCACATATGTTAAATGTTATTAAATAAACATGACAGTCACTGCGCTTGTATGATGCTTGTAACACTCGGGTGATCAGCTGTATCAATCAGCACCGATGTGGTTGATCACCTGAGACGATTTTATAACAACTATTATTAATAAAAGAAATTCCAGAACTAACACAATCTTATAACAAAACATTACAGTTGCATTTTTAAATTATATTTCTCTATTACAGACCACCAATAGAAAACCTGTTAAAAGCATAAAATGTTCTAACTCACTGGCAACATGTTTCAACACAATTTATCATCTTCAGGCCAACCTCTACCTTATTTAATATAATCTCCAACAGTCACAGTGCCCTCAGTGTGGAAAGCTGCCTTCTGGGCTAGAAACTGTATCAAAGATTTCCCACTTTTAACCATTCAGTTCCAATATTTGGAGGTAAGTGGTCAATTTCATGCCATGGTAGCAAGATATGGAAAAATATTTAATTAATAGAGATGAAATACAAGTTATCTGGTGACTTATGTCATTACTTCATGATCTTATTTCAGATATCATTCCCAGTTAGAAACATCACATGAGAATAGGACTTATCCATCAAAGTTGCAAAACAGTGGATATTTCACATTCAGAAAGTCAAGACTTCAACCTTAAGAGCATCAGGGTCATACGTGTCTCTTTCAGCACTGAAAATCCAATGAAATAGTTTCTCTCTTCTATGTATTTTGCATTCATATACCATGTTTTTCATGAAACGCTGTACATGGAAATCTAGCAGTGTGAGGTCCAGCGACCATGGCGGCCAACTATGCAGATCAACACAGCCAAACCATCAATCAATTGCTTGTTTTTGGTGTCTGCTAAAATGTTGGGGTGCCTCATTATGTTGAAGTACAACTATAATTATGTTTTATGTGTGTCCAAATCATCTTGAATCTCTATCCATAGCTCCAAAACTGTCAAGAATCAGACTTACATTCATAAATAACCTAAAGAATAAAATCGTGAAGTGTTGACATTGAGTTACCAGATGCCTTTATATGTCTATAACAGAAAAATATAGCAACTTACAATTAATATTACCAATACAGTCAAACCTCGGTTCACGAACTTAATTCGTTCCTGAAGGTCCTTCGTAAACCGAAACTATTTTCCCCATAGGAATTAATGTAAAATGGATTAATCCGTTCCTGGACCGCAGATGATTGCTTATTTAAAATTTTACAACAGTACTTTGTGCACAAGTTCTTAACACAAAATCAATGGAAACCATTAAATCCATCACAAAAAAGATAAACACAACACTAAGCAGATCAAATATAGACGAAAATTTAATTTAGTTTTACCGTACCTGTATGGAGGAGAGTTGACGGCGTAAGTGGAAGGTGGTGAGGAAGTGAAATGTTGTTTGGAAGGGGATTCTTTTTCTTTTTTCTGTCTCTTGGCACCACTCGACTCTGCATCAGACTCACTGGGCCTCTGCCTCACTAAAAAGTTGCCCAGTGTGATTTTTTTTGGTCTACGTTTTAAGATGTTTCTAAAGTGACACGGCATTATCACTGAAAATGTTTATGCTGCGGCTTGCTACTGCTTTATCGGGGTGATATCGTTCCACGAAACTTTGTACCTCACCCCATTTTGCACAAATTTCACGGATCAAAGTAGCAAGATCAGAGACACGAACAACCATTTTCATGTTTGGCTATGATTTCTTTCTTAACATCTATCATGATATTGGTATTTTCTCTTCTCACTTTGCTGCTATCATTGTATTTCTTTGGCCCCACGCTGGATCATTCTTCTACGAATACTGCCGACGCTGATACTCCCAGCTTATCGCTCCACGATGTTGACGGCTTGCATGTTTGTAACTCGAGACACAGTACGTCATCCGAGACGCTTTGTGTTCAGAAAATTTGTTCATAAACTGAATTGTTCATGATCCGAGGCGTTCGTGAACCGAGGTTTGACTGTAATTTGAAACTAATACTTACTGTTCAAAAAATATTCCTATTGTCACGCAAGAGCATGTGGAAATCATAGTAATATTTCGCGGTGAATTTCACTGCAAGACTGAGAATGTGTTTATAAAGAGGATAAATTATAAATATGTAAAGATAATTGATTTAACACTTTTTTAAAAAGTCAATTATTGTATACAAAACTGCCCTGATCAAAAATAATGTACATGCCTCATTACTGTAACGTCAGTATTAAAAGAAAATAAGAAAATGAGATATATATAAAATCAAATTTCCAGCTCACATTTCATATTAAAAATACTCTTTGTAACAACACAGCCTCAACTTCACCTTGCTAAAGTGTGACATCATTTAAGGACACAGAACAAGTCTGGTAGTTAAAGAAATAACCAAATAATCCACATTATCATTAGGCATCACAGTACACATGCTGAGAACACTCCCATCATTCGTCAGCCTATATCCCCTCCATTGTCATGGTTTATTCCAGCACCACCTGCTGTACCACTGTAAATTGCAGCTCTGTAACTGTACCTATTGGTGGTGGGACTGGCTCGTCGGTCAGGGACTGAAGGAGGAATAATTCCACCCACTTCACCCCCTACCACTGCTACTGCCGCATCCATAAATGTCACAGCACCACTCTCATCCACCTCACCAATGCAAGTCTCCGCAAGTGGCGTTACCAGCTCTGGGTACTGAGAGATACGAGAACGTAGCAGATACGCGTAGGTTTTGTACCGCCTTAACTGTAGAGAAATCATAAATTATACACGTCTTACCAATAAGACAACACGTAAAGATCTTATACTCTTTTTAAGTGTGGAGAGATAAATCTACAATCACCAATATCTTCCAAATAGAAAAGAAGATATGCATAGGTTTTATACCGTTTTAATTCTGAAAATATTAAACAAAAATCATGACAAACTTGTGAACGTCTGCAATGTATTGTTAGATTTCATATCCTCTTAACTGTAAAGATATCAAATATAAACCTTCAATGTATTATCAACATGACAATGAAAATGGATTTTGTGTACAATCTGATCTATATAGAGGATTTTCTTCTAGCCTCTACATTCAGATCTGCTCTGCGGCTAACCTAGCCTCCTGCACAATGGGTACTGGGGTTCTTTCCCAGGGGTAAAGCATGGCCAAGGCTTGCTACTGACAACGCAACCCCTTTTAGTGCCAAGGTTGAGAATAAGTGGGAGCTATAGCTCCTCTCCCCTAAGTGCCAACACTGGCATGTAACAGGATGGCTTTACTTTACTTACATTACATAAAACAATGTTGTTCTTCTGAGCGTAGACACCAATGCTTACGAGGAACACAAATAACCACATGTTTCGATGCAACTGACTGAAATAAATTTATGCTCAGTTTCAACTTGCATATAAATTATGAATAATTTTGTAATTTTAAGTACTTAAGTAACTAAATGGCTGTAAACTATTGTGTTATATGGCACTACATTGAAGTCAGGATTTGATTATCCTACACACTAGTGCTCAATTCAGCTAACTCAAAACAGCTTTGACCAATTGCCATTACCAATTGCATGTTTTATTTCAGAGTTCTGTTCCAAGAACACGTGTACCATCAAATTCTGGTGAGACTGTAATATAAAATCTGACTCGAACTGGATATCACACACAAACGAGCAAACAGTTGCTTGTACATTTCACATTAAGAAATGTCAATATCACAAACCAAGTCTGTAACTTCTCAATATAGTCCTGCATAACCCAGCAAATACAACATGCATGCCCTTACCTCATAGTGCAGGTAGACATCCTTCTCCTTGTAGTTCTGAATATTGAGCGACTTGGCGCTACGTTCAGGCGGGTGTCGTCGGTGGTCTTCCAGTTCTGCCTCTAACCTCTGTACGCGTTCTTCGTGGTCACGCAACTGTTCTCGCTTTTGAAAAAATTATGACAAATAATTTACTCTTCATCAATTATATATTGATATTATCTAATCAATTGAACATTAAACCATACAACAAAATGAATGTGACAAAACAGCTCCTGACAAAGAACATGGCAAGAAATAAGTACAAATGTAACAATTTTTAAATGTACATCAGAATTTAACCTGTGACCTTCATGACTGTAATCACAGTTGCCAGAGGTCAACAACTTTTGACCTTGTTCCATAGTACCAACACCCTGCCAGAAGCTATCAAGTCTGGTTTTCCCCTACAACAAATGCAAAGGCTTTCAAGAAATGTATTTTTAATTACTTTATTTAACACATCAAAATCCAGACAACTATAACCAGGAGAAAAATGAGAAAATTCAAATTATTCATAGCATAAAGTTACTTACTAAGTTTAACTTGCTATGACTACAAGGCAACAAAGGTCTCTGAAACTTTCGCTGTGAACCGACGGCTCCAGCAAGAGGTTGAGCCGAGAAGCTTGCACACACAAAGTTGATGGTATCAATCCATGACTGAAGTTCTTTCGAGTCACTGTGAAGCAAGTACAGTTTCACAATCAGTAAAGTCGAACCAGAGTAAAATGTATTTAGCACAGTCTGAACAATATAAAAACCAGAATAAGTACCAGTATTTGTGTATATTCACTATTCCACTTTATTCTATTAAATTATCACTGTGAAATTAATGAAGGACCATGATAAACATAGTTTTCTTTTATTGTGGGAGTGAGTGACAACATAAAATTGACAATTACCTTGTCTGGAACAGATATTCTGCTTGATCTGCCGTCTCCAGCCGAAAGACGTGTTGTTTCTTATTATAGTCCGATGCCTTTGTAGCTAGAGCATGATGGATCCGAATAGCATTGTGCAAGTTGTCGCTTAACGCACTTTTTCGAAAACCATGTTCATCTTTATGTAAATAGAGCACCATGTCACGTAACGTGCAATAAAACATTTTCCACCCTCGTTTACCAAATGGAGCTGAACAAAAGGAGAAGAATATCACACAGTTTCCTATTTACAAGTACAACAAAATATATTTATAGTTACCCACGCACAAGTCATTCATTTCACAAAGTATCTGTGTCAATTATTTAACCACTATTTGAGTGTTTGGTATGTTGAACAATAGTCACTAACTCAGACTATACTGCACTGAATGACAAGATGATTAATGAATAATGAAAATGAAATGGTGTTGAAGGAAGTGGTCACACCTATTTTGAAGTACAATCATGGCATTTACCTGGAGGGAATGAGGAAAAACTAAAAACCTCATGCAAACTGATCTGTAGGTCGAGTCTTGAACCTGGTACCTCCGAAATAGAAAGCAATAATGCTAACCACTCAACTCTGACATAAACGTTTAACCCTTTGAAACTGAAAATTGCCTAAATAATATTTAGTCATTAAGTTAAAATGAATTTCTACATTAAGCAGGTTCGTTGTCAACACAGTATTGCATGTCCTCAGATTGTGGCCGTGAATATAACAGACAAGCAGTCATGGACAGCCGACATGGGGTTACTTCCAAGCTTCTTCTTCTTATTCTATGGCTCTCCGATCCGTATTCGGTCTATGGCCTCCTCAATTTTCCTCTTCCATTCGGTCCTTCTGTCCGAGGCTTTGATTGAGGTTTCAAAACATTTTCCTTTTTACTGTGCAAGGTTGTTAGCCTTGCGACCAACCTCCAGCCTGGAGGACCAGGGTACCTGTCTTAGTCTGCCTCTCCCCCTCGACCAATCTGGCCATAAAACAGCACTACGTTAAGAAATGTTACACAGGGTCTTAGATTTGGCTGATACTTGTAAACATGCCTCAAGGTTGTGGAGAGGACTGTGCCACATCTTACCATGCAGTCACCAATACAATGTTAGTAGTTCTGCTATGCTCCAAGATCTGAGCTGTCTTCACTCCTTTCACTATTCATGTTCCATATGCAGATCATATGTCACATTAATCATAGAAAAACTTACTTTTCTTTCCATTGGGGTCAATACAACTTTTCCGCATCACATAGCCCTTCTTGTATTCTATTGCAGTTGCAGCGTTGGGAACATCAAGGAATGGATTACTACTGGCAGCCAAGTTTTGCTGGTTTTCCGTCGACTGTTTTGATTGCTGCTGCAGAACTGAATTACATTCATCACCTTCATCATCCCTATAAAATATATCCAATTTCACTGACATTTATTAATATTTTTGTCTTTATTTATTTGTGGTTTGTTTAACAATGTTGCCAATAGCGCAAACTGGATGACAGGATTAGTAATAAATAATTAATTGTGAAGTATATGGAAACGAATTGGTTACGGCTTAATTTAAGGTGCCAGGGGAGAAAAAGTATTTTCATGTAATTATGTAATATTCTAAACCTTAATTTAATTACAGATGCACACGTGTCAAATAAATGCACTTCTCACTGCCACATGTGCACCATGAGTAAATTTTATAATTCTTTAAAAGAAAATTAAAATATAACAGTACAACTATAGTTGGCGAATGTAATCTTGAGACTTGCGGGGTGAGGAAGTGGGGTGAAGAAGGAAGGATAGCGTCGGACTTCCTGCATTCCTTGCAAGTCTTAACATTACAGTATGTGATGCATTTTTTCTTAGAAAGACTCGTAAAACTGCATCATACCCTAGAAACAGTCATCCTCTTAGGTGGCCCAGAACACATAAAGTTTTCTTTAAAATATAAGGGTCATTCAGAAATAATTGTAAGGGTAAGTCCTTCTAAAAGAAGAAAGGTAACCCGAAGATTACTACTGGTGTTGAATTGCACGTCCTCTTGTGTGAGACACAAAACAGTGAGCTCACACTGTGTCCTTGATATAAAAACATGAAACGCAACTTACAGTGCCCATTCTAGAGGACAAGATTTGATGGCCTGATAGAGATGTTTGAGCACCTCACGAGGAAAGTTCTCCCCATCATTCAACTCTGACAAGTTTTCTATGAATTCAGAGCACGTCATCTTGCGTCCTATATTCTGTCCGTGCAGATCGGTGTTGAGCAGCATGATGGCGCATGTAAGTGTGTGAACAGCATCTGTTGACATCATTGTTCAGCATACTTAGTGCGGAAAAAAATGATCATAGATTTTAATTTACGGTTAACACAGATTACTCTCATTATACACACTTTTGTTATTCATGGTTATCTTTCAGTATCATGAGAAGTATCAATATCCATCCTATCTGTAGCCAATTAGAAGCTGCTACAGAGGCCCACTTAGTTGCAGGCAGTTTTACTGATGTGCCTCACCACTTACAATCTCAGAACTAGAAGCTAAGGCAGCTCATCATGTATCACTCAGAAAATCCGTACACAAGCTATATATTTCCTGTTTTATGCATTTTAAATATATATGATGATTCACAGAAACACAAACCTTGCATATAATGACTGTTAGTCATACAATGGAATTTGCTTGGAACAAGAGAGGAAAAGTGACAAAAGCCTCAAACTGGACGGAGAATCTCTAGGCTGAAAATTCAACCCAGAATCTGTTTAACACAAAGCAGGAGGGGAGCACCAAATACTTGATGATAAATGACGCTTTCAATAAACAGTACCTTGCGAATTGAAAGTTCCCGGATTGCAGTCTAGGAAACGTTTCGAGAAGTGAACTAGAACTCGTTCTCTTTCCTGGGTTTCACCCGTGAGGCTGAACTGTTTGAGGAATTTACGTAATGCTATATCTAGGGTGTCACCTTCAAAGCTAAAGTACTTGAGGTATTCTTCTGCCACCACGCGGCTGAAGTCGTTGCTGGAAGAAAAGTTGACAAAAGATTTCTGTAATATATCAACACTTAATTATATCATCTTACATTTTATACAATCTGTGATGAACACAGAAATGTTTAATCATATTTAGAATGCCACAATTAAATAAACTGGTGGAATGGCATTAACTAAATCTATTCTCCATTTGTGATAAATCTGCTACATCTTATCACCTCTTAGTGACAGAAGGAAAATTATTTAATTTATGAAAAATTCATATTAAAAAATTCAACACTAATTTAACAGCATGTTTTGCATAGACAATATTAACTCCTTGATGCTAAAGCTTATCTAACAGATGCACAAATATTCAGTCCATATTGCAAAGAAAACACAACACTTCACCATTACAAATATAAGTCGGTAAATGCTATTTAAGAAAATAGTTGCTGTTCACACCCATAAATACACTCTGTAGGCAAATGAAGAGTTGCAGAGTTGTGGGTACATATATTTACAACTGGGATTTAAAGAGTTAATTACTGCAGTTTTTACAACACACTGTACTACTTGTGATAGAAGCTGTAGGCCAAATCTTTGATCTCCAAATATTCTGATACACCCTTCTGGCACGATGCCATTAATATGATGTAAGTTTTCAAATAATGACTTTTTTAATAATGAACTTCGTTCCCTTTCAAAAAACGAGGAGTTTGTTAATGAAGAGCTTAAAGACTTACTTTTTGCTGAGATGTCTAGATACATCAGACTTTTTGAAGCCGTCGAGCATATACAGTCTCTTGGCAAGGCGGACAGCTGAAGGGATGTCCACTGCCTTGGGACTATAGTGGAAGCTGTGAAGACTTTCAATGTCACTCTCATCTTCTGATGACAAGGGAGGTGATGTAGCCTTTCCTGCTCCTGGCATAGTTGTGAGCAGAGCTGCATCCTCACTCAGTGTTGGCAACTCATCCTCCGACTCTCGAAGCTCCTGGTGTTTATAAGGCAACTACATTCCAGACTGTTACTTTTGGCTCTTGTAAGGAATGCAAGTACTGTCTATTAAGTACGATATCACAATGGCTAGTATAAAGGTGGCTGTCTTCTGGTTTGTTGAGCCGAGTGGTCTGGCAGAAATTTACTGACATTTCAGAGATACGTGCTGCCTTCATCACTAGGGCCCCTACTCACCCTGATGATAGAGACAGAAAGTACCTCTCAAATATCAGTAACTTATTAGGATCTGAGGTTTTCATGGTGGTGAGTCAGATGAGGGCTGTCTTCTCGGTTGTTGCACCGTGTAGTCTGGTAGAAGTTTACTGACGTTTACTGCTGCCTCCACCATCCGGTCAATGAAGGCAGCAAGGACCTCTGAGATGTCAGTAAATTTCTACCGGACTACAAGGGGTAACAAGCCAGAAGACAGCAGAGTACACAGTGCTATGACCCAGAAAACAGCCATCTTCATACTGTCTACCATGTTTCCATACAATACCTTCATGTGTACACTTACATTACATGCAGATCATTCTACTGGTTAAATGTCCAACCTAAAGCCTTAACAAAATAAAATGTATTAAAGGGTGTCAAGAAAGTACAGTTCCTCATACAAATAAATGGATTGTGCTGTGAAATATGTCCTGTTATTACCACTTCTCTACTGACATTAAGAATAACTGAGTGCAATTTAATCTGTAATGTTATTGCAATACCGTTTTCCAGGTGTTTTTATCATTTGAGGAATACAAACAATTCAGAGATAAGGAAATCAAACATGTGAGTATATTTGTACATCTAACTATCCAACATACATGTGTACACCCTACCAAGGTTTGAGAAAGAGACTTATGGATAATCCTATACCTAAATTTCTAGAAGAATTCTGGTAAAGCTCAGAAAATAAATCAAATTATCTAGACAACAAACTCCACGTCTTGTATGGAACCTAAAGTTTACATTACTGTGTTCACAGGAGGTTGACAACGGTATCTACTACGAGTCAGATCAATCCAATCCACATGTACACTTTTTTATCTTTATGAACCATTTCATTATTATCCTCCCCATCTACAACACAACCAAAACAACTTAACCTTGGGACTAGAAAGAGATGAAGGGTCTCCTTCACACACACACACACACTGGTTACTTCACTCCCATTAAACGAACCCTGAATAGTCATTAGATAAGAGACTGAGTAGACCCCTGAGCAATGCTTTGCCCCACTTGGGAATCTAATCCGTCATCCGGCCTGTTGCCTAGTCATTATACTAAGAATGCATGGAGCTATACATCTCCCTCCATTCACAACTCATGCCTTCATGCTGTGGTGTGTAATTAAGCACCAAGGAAGATAAGAGATTCTGAAATACATAAAATACATATTGTATTACCTGATATCCGACAAGCTCCGGCGTGACATTTCCTGAGCTCAAACTTGAAGGTGATCTTGAAGGTTGTTGAGCAGAGAGCCCACTGTAGAGCAAATCCAATTCTCTACCTGCTAGCGGAGGTAAACCCCCTCCTCGATGTGTTTTCCTAGTCCCTCTAGGACTACCAGGTGCCCTCAGCACATTACCGTCCTTATCAGGTCCCTTTACCTGAATAACAATCCTATGTTCAGCAGAACCTTGCCCAACCACATTACTATGAAGATGTACACCATCTGTTGAAACAGATGATGGATTCTGGTTCTTATTGTTATTAAGATGATGTAATTGCTGGGAGTTATTATTGTTCATCACAGTTGCCGCTGGAGTCCGATCACTAACTAGTAATGTAGAATCACTGTCACTAGGGTCACTAACTTCCATCAGATCTCTTGAACTAAGAATATCAAGGGTCTCCTCTTCCTGGAAATCTGGACTCGAAATGTTAGAAATTGCTTCTGACTGGCTCAGATCTCCGTTAGGTTGGTGAAGATATGACGCGGAGTCTACTACAGGTCCAGTTGCCGCCCCCGTAATGAGCACCGGGATCTTCCGCGAGCTGGAATTGCTTGACATCACCGATGAAGAAACTGAAGTTGGAGAGGCTGGAGACAATGACCTCTGCGGACTGATACCCTCTGAGGATGTGCAAGAAGCAGATCTGGAAGCAGCAGAAGACCCTGATCTGGATGCCACTGAGGAAATTCCTCCACAGCACGAGTTATCCGAACCAGAGTTAGAAGGTGAAGATACTATAGGAGCATTGTATGTCCAAACTATCCGGTCATTATTAGTAGTAGTTTCTGTTGCACCAGCCCCCAAAGGATGCGCCACATTATTGCTGCTTCCACCACTATCCTGTCGAGTGTCCAGGAGCGTATTAAGAGAAGATGTCACGTCCTCATCAATGTCTATATCAACTGCACTCATGGAAGAATCTTTCTGGAACTGGAGATGGTCTTCTGATCGAGACGTTCTTACAAAGCCACCAACTGCGTGGTGATAAGGAAATGCAGATGTAGACACAGATGATGAACTTTTAGTGTCTGGATTTGAAGAAGATCCAGTACAACTTGGCTGGTTACAGACGCTATTGTCTCGTTTGTTGAGGCCAACAGGAGATGTCCCTGCTGAAGTTGTACCTCCTGGTGGTGCAGATGCTGATTTATAGTGATGATTCCTGTGCCCCATCTCCATCTCGTTGGGACTTGTTGGTACTGAATTATGATGATGATGGTGATTGTAATGATGATGATAATGGTGATGATACCTTAAACTATCCACTTTCTTTTGGTGCTTGGGGAACAACCCAGAACTCTGTTGAGTTCGGGACAGGTTGAGAATTAAGTCCCCTGTCATCATGAATGCTTCAAACCGAGGAGGACGCGGCCTCGAAAATTTGTCACTACCCAAGAGTGGTTCCCACTGAAATCTTTCACCTTCTTCAAAATTGTCAACAGAACTGTTACCATCTTGTGTTCCTGTAGGAAGAAGTGCTTCCAGTTCTGAACATGTTGCATAACTACAAGTTCCATTACTCGTTGTCTGCTGTGGAGGAGAAGACGGTGATTGAAAATGGAAGTCTCCTGTCTGACCATTGCTGGTATCTGACAAAGGTGAGGAACTAGACAGTAAAGGCTGACACTGTTCTTGTTGAGGGTGCTGATTACTAGAACCTGTCGGTGCCGCTAAGGCAACACTGTTGTTACATAAGTTCTGTTGCTCGCTTAAAATTAATTCTGTTAAGTCTTCATCTGGGTGTTCGGGTGATGACAAATAGTGACGTACACGTGCCTTTATCACAGGATCTGCAACATATCATGTCACTAATTAGAAACTCAAAAAATTCTATTATGAAAGTTCTGATAAGAATATATACACATTCTACAAAAAGGCCAACCAAAAATGGCATGTAAACCACTTTTCTTGGTAACTGCTTAGGATGCATTCTGTGGTTTCCATTTATGTTTTATGTGATCTAGTGGCAAAGAATGTAGTAACGAACAGACATTCCACCATAAAATGAAACAGTCAAAAATGTCAATCAACAATCTATTCTAAAATTGAAATATATTTAACAAAATATTTGCAAAAAATAAAAGAACTTTTCAAAAACCTAAAATTATGAATGTAAGATTTGAGGTTTTCACAGCGGTGAATATGAAGATTTCTGTCTTCTGGGTTGTTGTGCCGTGTAGTCCGGTCGATGTTAACCAACGTGTCAGAGGTCATTCTGCCTCCGTCATCAGGGCGATGAATAAATTATGATTTTGCGGTACAACAAATTAAGCATGTAAACCTCAAGGTCTTCACACCCGACAATTTCTAGTTGATGCATTCCACATGAGCTTTTCCCACAAAAATCATGTTCAACAAGAAGTCACATAAAACCTACTGAACACAAGATGAATTTTTGAAAAATAAACAATGGCACTGATCACAAATATAAACGTCACTCAGTGAGAATGATAAATATGTACAAAACTGAATATGTGTATATTTATACCTGTAATAAGTATAAATCACAAAGCCCCTCATTATGTCACTTTCCTCAGTGCTTTACCTCATCTCTCCAGGATCCAAATTTTTTTTCATTTTCTTCTAAAACACTCTACCCGCAAAACTAATATAACAGACCAGTTCTTTCATACAGTATTATCCCGCAAAGAGCCTTATATGTAAATTGGAAGAAAGCAAATGTTTCATACGAACAGACCCTCGTTCTACTTGCAATGCACAAAAGACCAATGTCCTTAATACCATCAAATATCATTCTAATATTACGGCTGGATGTAATTCAAACACAAACTTCTCCCACCACCATTTTCGAATGCTGTAACTGAGGGTTGAGATACTTGAAGGCTCTCAAATCCCGGATCTATTGTGGCGCTGACATCCATAATTAATGGATCATATCCACACCCCTCACAAAGTCATTTCTGAATAAATATTCTTAAATATAACAAAAATTACAAGGAGCTTTCAAAACTAGTACCACCAGGTTTTCCTTTGCCCTTGGGTCCAATGGGAAGACTATTCTCAGTCCGAAGCAAGAAAAAAGCAAAACCACCCTGCCAGAAGGAAATAATAATGCATAAAATAGTTAAGTTGGTCTTTTTATTCAAGTTAGAGATGTTAGATTATACAAATAATGTATAACATGTCCCAAAAATATGTATACACACACTCAATAAATGAAAAATATTTTAATAAACTAAATCATTACATACGTCAACATTGGCACTTAGTGAATCTAGTGTAGATGTTGGGCATGACCACTGCTGGCTTCGTGGCACAACTGACTCAACAGGACCTCTTGGAAGTGTTGATGGCTTTGTGCAGTATGCTGCGACCTTCAAGCAACCCCTTCAAGAGGAAGTCAGGTGGGGTTAAACCTGGTGATCATTGAGGGTCCTCGACATATCCTCCATGTCCTATCCATGGGTCGGGACAAGTGTTGTCAATACAGGTCGTGACATCACGACCGTAATGTGGGGGCGACTCTTCTTGTTGATACATGTCATCTCCATCAAGCACAGGTTAACATTCCGTGTTATAATGTGTATACATCTTTTTGGGACATTCTGTATTTCTATAATATTACCTTACCTCTTTTCAATCTCAATGTGACAGGGTCAGCAGATAACCGCAAACATTTCAAGACTGTAAGTAAACATGAAGAGAACCTGTAAGATTCTACATTATGTAGTATCCTTTAGAAATTATAGTAGTCTTGAGTATAATAGAATTGTTAAGAGGCAATACAATTTAAGATGTTTCTCTGTCACTTTTTTATCTCTTACTTTCTTACTCTCCAATATACATACACACAAACACACGCACTCAAGCGGAAAGGGACATTAAACATAAACACAGCGGTCTGAAAACTCGATCTACTGAACATACAAATGTTTATAACACGACCAATTAATCGATAATAGCAGACGCGTGCACTGCAATAAAGTAACAGATGGTTAATTACGCGGGACAAAAGAGTAGGTCTCGTACAAGAATGAATACCTTTCTTTACAGTGTCATAAAAGAACATTGTCGATATTTTCCTCATACAGAATAAACCTTATTTATTCTTATCGTAACAAAGTTATAACAATAAATACGGTGACATGTTTCGATCTGTCGAGAAGTCTCAATCTGCTCTCTCCACAGAAAATAACACATCCTACCAACCTGAAATACCGAACTGTACCAACCTACGTCATGTTCTGCATTTTAATACTGCCATCTGGAACCTCGAATCAAGTGCAAAAAAGCGCGGCCGGAGCGTGACCACTCATCCCCCATCTGGTGCCGAGGTTAAGACTGAGTAGGAACTATAATACCTCTCTCCTCCAAGCGCCTACATGGCGTATAACTTTACTTTCTTAATGTCTTGTCAATAAGACGCGTTCGGTCAGTGAAAATAACATTTTTTAACAGTGGCTTCTAGGAAGAATCTTCCTGCCGCGGTGTAAAAATAATTACCTGCTGGTTAATATGAGGTTCAATTTTAATATACTACACTGCAGCCAACAGTCACAACATTACAAATGTTTCCCAGCCAACATCTGTATTAAACTCACGTGCAACAGCGATTCATATAACGGAAAACACAACCTGAAAAATTGCTGAGACACAATCTCATAAATAAGTACAACTACTTTGAAACATAAGTCACGCGCATTTATTTTAACTGTTTATGCTTTTCATGTTTATCTCTTTGCTTGAGAGCCAATTTCTGTGGCCTGCTCTTTTGATATTATCTGAAACATTCCAAGTAGCAGTATTATTTTATTGTTTCGTCTTTTTTTCGTAAATATCGTTGGTAATTGCGATCGACAACTTTATTGTTCATTTAAGGTTTTTTACTGGGAAGAAGACTGATACAGCTAACCGACGATCTGAAACAAGGAAAGAAGATGAAGTTCCAGGAATTAAAACGAGAAGCTGAGAATAGGGAAAACTGGAGAGCTCTCTTTGGGCAGAGCAATGGACATGTCGTCAGAAAGAACACTCAATAATAATAATAACCATTCTTAGAGGTTACTAATCATCATACAAGCATAAACAAGTAAATTAAATTCGACATAAAAAAAACCTTGTCAAAATTCGAAATCAGAAAATTATAACTGCACATTTTCGTCCACAAATACCGACAAGGAACTGCCATGTGACAAAAGGACCTCGTACATATTACTCGTACGGATACTTTATTAAAAAATAGATCGAACTGTTTACCTTCTTTTGTGCTGAATCGATTGACGTCAGTTTCGTTAATTTTCAAAATTACATCACCAGCCTCCACCTGTGAAAAAATAAGATAAATATAAGTCCTTTCTCTTTATGCCAATTAAAAATATATACCACCGGCTTTAAAACCTTCAAATCTCGGCCTGCAGACCGGCTACTACGACTGAAATTTTTCGTATTTTTCTTCAGACCTTAAACAAATGATGGGACAATACTTCAAACTAGACCACGACCGCGTCCTTTCATATCCTTTCCAATTCATTATTCATTACTCATCCTGAAAAAATACTACAATTGTATTTGAGAGTACACTAAACCCGGGAGTACAAATCGTTCAACTGATCTCGCACTTTCGTTTATGAAGAATTAAACCCAATGAAGGAGTCACAAAACTGAACGATCGAAGTCGTGATACGATACGAGAGATATTATCGATTTTGGAGCTGCCTAGCGGACGGGAGTCTGTGATTCTACGATCATCCCAGGTTCGGCAG